GGACGCCGGCCATGGACGGAAGAGAAGGGGAGAAGGAGAAGGAAGGAAGTTGTCTTCTGTGATCTCTGACCTTCCTCTGAGCTTACGTAGATATATGGAATGGAATATCTTTGGCCAATTTTGCTGTCTGTCTAACTCAGCCTCCTACGGGGGGGTCACAGATCTCCCCATAGTGTCTGAGCCAGCAGAGTGCAGGTGCAGCCTTGAAGCCTCAGTAGTTAGAAAAACATTCCACTGTCTTATCAGCCTAGCAGAACACACTGTTGCTAGTTACAAGAAATCTTACTAAAGGAAAAAAAAATCAGTAAAGAGAAAAATTTGCTTCATCCTGGCTCAAACCAGGACACATGCCCTTGTGAGCTGCTCTTCCCTAGCCTTCTTATAGGCTCCTTTCAGGTATTGGAAGGTCTCTATAAGGTCTCCCTGGTGTCTTCTCTTCTTCAGGCTAAACAACCCCAACTCCCTCAGCCTGTCTTCATAAGAGAGGTGCTCCAGTCCTCTGATAGTTTTTGTTGCCTTCCTTTGGACATGCTCCAACAGGTCCACATCCTTCTTGTTTTGGGGGCTCCAGAGCTGGACACAGTACTCCAGGTGAGGGCCCACTAGGGCAGAGTAGAGGGGCAGAATCACCTCTCTTGATCTACTGGCCACATTTCTTTTGATACAGCCCAGGATGGAGTTGGCTTTCTGGGCTGCAACTGCACATTGGTGGCTCATGTCCAGCTTTTGATACACTAGTACCCCCAGGTCTTTTTCCACAGGGCTGTTCTCTAGCATGTCTTCCCTCAGCCTGTATTCATATCTCTGGTTTCCCCAGCCCAGTGCAGGACCCTTGTTGGGGGTCATGAACCTCATAAGGTTCACCTGGGCCCACTTTTCCAGCTTGTCCTGGTCCTTCTGGATGACATCTCAACCCTCTGGCACATCTGACTGCACCGCCTGTTCCCTTCAGGTGCTGATCATAGACTGCAGCACTGCTTTAATCAAACAAATATTCTCCTTTGTGCTGTTTGGGACAGTTATAGCTCCTATTTAGATAGACGTTTTTGTTGCATTTGCAGAAAAGCCAGTCACCCCACAAAACTGGTTGATCCAGTACCTATCAGAAAGTAATCTGGTCACTGAGGGTATGTAGAGCTTGTTGTGAGTTTGCTTGGCTTCTTTTACTTAAAATCTTGACTGAGCATGAAGTGCTATGCCTGTATCATGATGCAGAGTTGATGGGGGTCCTTAACTTTGTGCTGGAGGCGAGTGCCCTGCTCTTTATTCTATGCAAGTCCTTAAGTCTTTATAGGAAGCTGTACGTTACAGGTGTACCAGTAGACATAGAAACAGTAGTCCATGCTGCTTTTCTCCCACTGACACCATGTTCTTCCCAGAGGAAAGTATTTTGCACTTGCTTACATGTGTTCTTTACTGTTATCTTCCAAGAGACTGAACAGATGTTTGTGGCAGACTTGGCTGCTTACATTTGCTTATTAGTCCTTCAGTAAGGTGAGCTGGAATAGAAATCCATTTTGTTCCTTCAGCAGCTGTGCAGATTCTGTGGGATTTGGAGAGTGAAATAAGGTGAGGAACTAATGATGAGTAGTTGTTTAAAATACAATTCAGTAGAAATTGCTCTGAAATTATGGAAAGATAGTCACTTGAATAAGCAAGTGACATTATCACATCCTCACTTTTCAGCTGGCAGACCCTGTGGAATCTCTTTTGATTCTGTAAATTACAGTATTTTGTACAGTAGAAGCCATAGAAGCCTTAAGGTGTCTAGCTAGGTGGAAAATTACAACTGAGATGCTATCCCACTGTTCAGTTACTTGCTTTTTGAGAGGCTACTGCCTTTTAGCTCCAATTTCAGTGAAAATAGGTTTCAGATTACTGAGAAAGGACTGTAGAATCAGAGATAGCTGCTTTACTTGCCTTGCTTTCCACTTGGCAACCTAACGCCTGCTTTGAGGAAAGCAGGAGTATGAACAAGGCAACAAAGCAGAGTGTTAAGCAAATAAGACCTGCATTTAAATATCAGTAAGCTGCCCCTCATATTTGGACTTGCAGAGCATTTCAACAAAGTAAAAATACTTTCCAGAATGATGATAAATAGTTGTTGAATGAAGAACTACCTTCAAGTATGTGGAGCTTGAGCTCATGTCACCTTTTTCCTGGGAGGGGTGTTAGTCCTTGTGCATGTAGCATATATAAGTTACTCTGCAGCTTTTTTTTAACAAAACAAAGATTTGTTGACTGTCTTCCAGCTCACTTGCAGCAGTTGTTGTGTTGTGGTTTGTTTTGGTTTTTTAAAAAGTCAAAATTCATAAATCAATTTCCCGGATTTTCACTTTAATCATTAGAATTATATGACAAAAATACACAATTTTTGCTTAAGCCTTTAAGGAAATGTTGCTGTCAACAATTTTGCTCATCTGTCATCAGAGCAGTATGCAGGGAAGGAGTATGTAGTGGTGTTCTGTGGCTTTGAGACAGAAGGTGTTGATCTGTAATTAGTGTGCATTTACAGTGGGCAGTCAGGCTGTTACGCATTTCGACCCATACCACTGCTCCCCAGAAGCCTGACAGAATTACTGCCTCACAGCAGTGCTGAAATATGTTTTTTGATGCAGGACCATTTAAGAAATGGACTTGACTGCCTTTTCATGGTCTAGTCAGCTTGTCTTTACAGCTTTGTTTTCCTGAAAAGCAGGGCCCATGACCACCTGGTGTGCCAGAACCTGATCCACACACAGAGTTATTTGCTTTAATATCCAGTTCTGCACAGAAAAGGGAGCAGAGTGGTGTGCCACAAAGCAAGCTCAGCTTCCTGAAGCACAACTGCTACTTTTATACCCAAAAACGTGAGAAATAACTTTATCTCTAACATTATCATTCACACACAATTGGTCATCTTACTCCTCACTTCCATTTAAAGTGACAGTGCTCAAACATTTCACTACACATGCTCAAAGAATAAGGGGCTTCTTGTTAGTAGGGGTCCCTCTAGCCTGTGAGTGGGTATTTTAGTATGCTAATAGCTCGTTAATATATTAATGTATGTTAATCACTCAGTGTTTTTTCCCCCAGTGCTCCAAACTGCAACCAAGATAAGCTGTGGGGTGGGCTCCTTTCTATCCCATTCTTTTGTCCAGCAGGTGTCTCAAGGCTGGGCTGTTGGCTACTTCGGGTGTGTTTTTCTCTAATTGGAATCTGGTTTTGTCTAATTCTTACTGTTTCAGTGTTACCTAGGCCCTGTTTTTATTCTGTGTGTCCCTTATGTTCTCTTTCATATGATTTTTCCCCAAATGTGGTTTTTTCTTTTTTACCCCAAAATTTTACTTATTTCAATTAATAGCTGACATCGGCATCACATGGCAGGGTAAAATTAAAATAATTGCTACAGGAAAGGGAACTGAAGGTAGTGGAAGAGGGAATTTGTTTCTGAAGTGAAATTTGGAAATGAAATGTCAGCATGATAGAGGATAATAAGAAGCATTTACCAGACAGCAAAGGAATGATAGTGGTAGGACTGTTTGAGCAGCACAGGAGAGGTGAAGGAGGGAAAGTACCATGGTACTGCACATGGCAGCATCTGGAACCACTGAAACAGGCCCTTTAAGGATGAGTTTGGTTTAGAAATCCTCTTTATTGCCTTTTTAAAATATCTTCTGGTTTTGAGTGCACTCAGTCACAATTTCAAGATTACTCTATGCCCTGAAAGGCAAGGAACTATTTGTTTTTCTGATTAAAATGTAGATCTGGGCATATACAGATATTTCTGGAGCACAACTATGCTGGTTGTGTGTGTCAGCAGCAGAATCTTAAAAAGATGAGTCTAGAAACTGGCCAGTATCCATTAAGGAAGAGCTTGGCAAGATAGATTTCAAAACAAAGGGTATGGCTTTGAAGTGAACTCTCAAGGGAACAAGGCAGTTCCAGCTCTGTTTGGATAGGGCTGTTGGGATTCACAGCCTGCTTTTCTCCTGGTGTTTTTTCTATTGAGTTTATTTTTTGGGTTTTTTTGCAAGTACAGCCACTTTGGCTGGTGGTGAAGGACCTAGCTCTGAAGGAAAAAAGGGGAAAGGCTGTTTCATTAACCTGGCAGAAATGGTGAAGTGTTTTGCTATGCAGAGTCACTTGTCCCAAAACAGGTTTTTCCTTTGGCATGATATCTCTGGCCACTGCTGCAGATCCTGTGGCTGTTAGTCACTGGGCCTGTCCTCAATCATTTCTCTGTTTGAAAAAGAAGAAAAACCCACAGATCTGGGGAAACCCCCAAGGGAAAATATGCTTTGGTCACAGAGAGGCCTGTGGAAATTCTGAAGGAAGGTTTTGACAGTCAGTGGTGTTCATGTGCTGCATACTTCAAAACAGGAAAAAAACGAAAGAGCAAAGAATCTGGGGATTTCAAACAAGTTCTAAACAATTATTCTGTGCTGCAAAGTTTGCATGTTTTAGACCAGTAGTTACGTTACGCTCAAGACCAGCAAAAGCCATCCTGAGTCTGCTTTTGTGATTGAAGGGTTAAACGCAGGTATACAAGTTACCTTCTGACTAGCTTTTTTTTTTTTTCATGTTAGGATTCATTTTAGGTGTTGATATTTACTTCTGAAATCATGACCTCTAATGGACAAATGTTTGTATCCGTTAAAATTTAATCAGAGCTACAGCAAAAACTTTTAATTTTTTTAATAAATTTGAAAATAGTGTAAATTTGTTAATCTCGTTTTTGTTTCAGTGTCCTTCATTTAGCAATTATCCACCTTCACGCTGAGCTGGTGAAAAACCTCTTGGAAGTGATGCCTGATTTGAATTATAATGACATCATTAACATGAGAAATGACCTTTATCAGGTACTGGGTTGTGGTGGTGTAAGTGTTGTTGACTGTTCAGCCAGCAAAAAAGAAATTGCATAACTTAACTCTGTTTGTCTTATTTTTCTTCTCTTTGTTGGAATGAGCCTAGATCAGACTGGGATGCAAACAAGTTTAGAAACTCAGTGACACACTGTAAGGTGGTGAAGGAGCAAGAGTAGTTAGTTCGTAACTTCCCCTGATGTTAAAATAAATGTCTCCATGGGTTCACCATGCCATGGGTTCACAGGCCAAAAAACCTGAAATTCTCCAGTTCTTGTCTTCATTATTTGGTTTCTCTGTTACAAATCCAGCAGTAGGGATTAGTGTGCCAGCTCTGGGCCCTTTTGACCTTTCCAGTGTAGGACAACTCAGGATCATGTGTCAGTTGCTGCTTCATCAGTCATCTGCAGGCATGTGGAAGCTGTAACAAACTTATGCCCTTTCTAAAGCCCAGACAGTGTTTGTGCCCATCACATGAGCACCAAGATTTCCCTTTCATTTCTAGATTCACATGACAGAAAAATGAAAAAAAACCAAACCTTTCCCCATGTTTTTTACCTAGTAGGAAGAGAACTCGTAACTGCTGAGCACAATTCTGTCTCCTCAGCTTAATTTGTGACAGAGCCTGAGCTTATGTGTAGCTCAAATAGGCTTTAAAAAGAGCTGTGGAAACCTGCCTGGAAAATAATGTTTTTAACTGTGCATGCCATTCAGTTGTTCCAAAGGTAACCAGTTGAATGTTACATGGCAGCACTCTGGCATGTGTGTAATTTCTTTTGCTATGAACAGTAAGGGCAGGATTTTATTCTACACATAAGAGACCCAGAGGGTTTAGTTTTCTTTTGCACTTTCTTTCTATGCTTACATGAAGCAAGTTTGAAATGCAGAGGCTGATGAAAGGAAGCAGAAGATTTTTAATTTAATTCTGTGCCCTCTATGTAACAGAAACAGGAACCAAAGCTGTTATCCACATAAGAAATAAATAAATAACTAACAGGGCATCTACAGCTATTCCTACCTTCTACTTAAACCAGTGGTGACAGAGAATGTAGGGTCAGGCTAGAATTTTTCTTTTGTACAGATGAAAGCTGAATCATGCATGTACCTTACAGATTCAGTAATTAATTGCAAATCTGTTGTCAAACACAACCTTGCTGTACAAAGCTGGAATTAGTCTTTTTTTTATAGTCCTCTGTTAATATAATTATCTGGAGGTGGAATCTTGTGCAATTTTAAATTATTTTAGCATTGGAAATATGATTTCTTAAACCTTACTGGAATGTTTTGCTGTTTGAATACATTTCTGAGTATCATCTGCATGATGCTGTTCACTGGCAAAACTGTCAAGAACAGAATACAATTGACCTTTGGAAATACTGGAAACCTCTCAGCCTGAGGGCCTCAGGGTGCTGCAAGTGCCTGCACAAACACAGAGAGCATGCCAATAGAATCAGCTAGCTAGACACTGCTGAGATGCACAGTTGTTCTGCACTTTGACAAATGCACAGAATAACACGAGTTTCTTCTTTTCTGTGCAGTCATTTTGAGGAGTAAGGAAATCCTAAGTCCATGGCTGCAAACCTATTCAGGAGCAAAATTAAGAGTATAGCTCAGTGCCAAAGGAAGATTTGAGCAGGCTCTGGAAAGTGTGTGTGCTCCCTCAGTGGGATGAACTTGGCTGTGGGGCAGCTGGAAGCCAGGGAACAGGGATTATCCCATTTCCAAGTTCCTTCCACTGCAATGCTTAAACAGCCAGATCAGTGTGCTGCTTACAGAGGTAACCTCCTTGTCCCTCCCAAAGTTCAATGCTGACACTGGCAAGGCAGCTTTTATTTCCAGTAAGGAGAAACCCTGTTTGTAGCATGCAGTAGAAAAAGTGATCACGTATGCAAGCTTTTAATTTCTGTTAGTTTTGAAGTGGAGTAACATCATCTTACTCTAGGAGCTCTTACAGGTTTAAGAGATTTCTGTAGCAGTGAGATAGCTGTTGCTTATCTGCTCATTTCTTGCTTCTGTCTCTTCTAGACCCCATTGCACCTGGCAGTGATCACAAAGCAGGCAGAGGTGGTAGAAGACTTGCTGAAGGCTGGAGCAGATGTCAGCCTCCTGGATCGCCATGGTAATTCTGTCTTACATTTAGCTGCTACTGAAGGAGATGACAAGATTTTGAGTCTGCTCCTCAAGCATAAGAAGATATCTCCAGTGGTCAACCTTTTCAATGCTGAAGGTATGGAAAGATTAAGGATGTATTTTATTACCTACCAGACAAGCACAGACCAATTTCTGCCAACTTAGTGTTTCTACACAGGTTGATACAGACTTTGGAAATAGCATCTTTCCCCATTTTGCACATGCTGTCCTTGGCTGTTACGTGACTGCAGTCACAGATGAGAGAACAGAGATGAGTAGGTTTTCTGGTTATACAGAACATAAAGATTGGTAATGGCAGTGTGACACAGTATGGATTAGAATTTTTGTTACTGTATATTCTCTTTAATCTCACAAAAAGCACTGTGTTCCTGCTG